CCGCTACTCCTCTCCCCTACATGGCTGCTACTCTAATTCCAACTGCGCCAACAACCTTCTCTTCCGTTTTCTTGAAGATGTAATTAGCAAAGGCGTTTCTGGACTTTTGATTGGTCTTTTTGTCCGGAAATCACCTGGACAAAACCATCATCAGCCCCAGGGATTGGGCTGAGGGGCAAAACCACGACACAGTTGTTGAAGAAAAGACAGGAAAAGAGGGGCATACTCTTGGATCTAGCAAAAAAGTGGGAAAACCAGGGGAGAATGGCAAGATCCCTGGCCAGCACTGAAAACAGAGCTGCTACAGCTGCCCAGAGATATGGTGCAGTGTGACCTGTCCCAAATTTACCAGCCTGACTGGCAGAGTACTCCATGTCACCAAAAGAAATAACTGGTTCTAGTGGATCCAATCTCCTTTCAGCATGTTCAGTTGTATCTTAGAAAAGGGATAACCACTGTCAGATTGCTTCTCTGGAAAGAAGAAAGGTGGTAGCTGGGTCTTCCAGGATAGTTTCACTGAATGGTTGGACAGTGTCAGTGAATGGTCTCTCTGAAGGTTGGATGTGGGAGGTGTCCCTGCCCATGGCAGGGGGTGAACAAGATGAGCTTTGAGGTTTTTCCTTCCCAAGCCCAACGATTCCACACTCTGTGAATGATGATGAAGGTGCTCCTCAGAGCCCTGTGTGCCACAGAGGAGTTTTGTGGCCTCGTCCTGCTGGAGGTCAGCCTGGTGCCTCTGGTGCTCCAGGACCCAGTGATCTGTGCAGCTCCCTGGCCTCTGCCAGCTGAGCTGAAAATTTAATACAAGACAGTGAGAACTTTATTAAAGCCTCCCCCCTGTCCTTTGGGAAACCATCCCATTTATCACTGCACGTATCTTTGACTTTATCTCTTGTGACTAATTTCATCTCTCGCCAGAAGAATAGTCAAATATTCCTCTTCCAGAACCCCACATGGATTTAGATGGCCAGGGTGATGCATGTGGCAACCCAGATTTATTCCCAAGGAAGGCTGGGAATTGTTGCTGTGGTAAGACAGGAATAAGAGCTTTGTCTTTCCAACTGAGGCTGCACTTTCTTCCATACCTGGGTTGTGCTGACACAGGGGGGTCTGTTCAGGGTAAGAAACACCCCAAAGCAGGGAGAAAGCTCAGACCTTTCTGTACATATTTTATCTGGACTGTTTTAGAGGGGAAAGTTGAGAAATAAGGGAGCTTCTTATGGGATTGATTTGAAAAACTCCAGGGTGGTGGCAGATGCAATCTGAGCTACACTTGGCAGGGCAGTGGGGAACTCCCAGCCTTGCCCAGGTCTTTTCTTCTATTTTGGATTCCTGAAGAATCTGATTTCCCAGTGGTGGAAACGATGATTAATTACCCTGTAGGACAAGGAGTAATTTTTTGCCATCAAGAAATTCCTCCTATTTGAAACTATTGACTTGATTCCCAAACTGAAAATTGAATGTAAGACAGTTCCTTCCAGAAATGACCAGGGGATGAATGATGTGTGTTCATCATCTGTGAATCAAAGCCTGTGGTGTGACTCACCCCGGGCTGGTTCCATTGTTGTTCTTATTATAGCATCTCCTCCAAAGGTCACATTTAACTGCTAAAAATAACCCCAAAAAACATCCCCTCCTCAGCAAACACTTGGAGCAAATATAGGCTACTTCTGCATTAAAAGTACAGATCCAGGTCACCGAGCTCACCTACTTAGGGGATATTTTAGAGCTTCCCAAAAGATTTTACATCCTCCAAATGTCAATCTCCTTTCAGTTCCATGCATCAGCATTTAGTCTTCTTACTTCAGAGTGGCTGTTATTTAGATGTTGATTTTATCAACGTTTAACCAGCTTAACATTTCTGATGTGAAACCCGCAGAAAGTTGAGGTGAACTTGGCTCCAGTGTTGAGCAGCAGGAGGAGGACTTGAGTACAACCTTATTTTCATCCCAAATGGTAGGACTGGAGAAGAGAAGGCCCAGGGGAGACCTCATCCCTCTCTACAACTTCCTGACAGGAGGCTGTAGCCAGGTGGGGGTCGGTCTCTTCTCCCAGGCAATCAGCAGCAGGACAAGAGGGCACAGGTGTAAGCTCTGCCAGGAAAGGTTTAGGCTGGATATTAGGAAGAAATTCTTTACAGAGAGAGTGATCAGACACTGGAATGGGCTGCCAAGGGAGGGGGTGGATTCTCTGTCCCTGGGGGTTTTTAAGATGAGACTGGATGTGGCATCAGTGCCATGGTCTGGGAACTGTGGTGGTGTTGGATCAAGGGTTGGACTTGAGGATCTCAGAGGTTCTTTCCAACCTGGCTGATTCTATTCTATGACTGATTCCCATCTTCGTCCCTTTGACTGCATGATGTGTAATTCTACCAAAACCAGAGCAGCAGAGGCAGGTCCCTCTTTAAATGCTGATTTTGGAGAGCAGTCTCTGTCCGAACCCTAAAGGGAACCTGATTTTCAACCCAGTGTTTCAGCTCACAGAATATTTTATCTGTAACACGAGAGTCCTCAGCCTTTGCCTACCAAGGAGAAGGAAGGACTAAACTTCCTCTTCAGCCTTTCTTACTGACCACCCTGGGGAAACCCCTGCCCTGTGCATTGATTTCTGTTTTCAGAGAATCACACAATATCTTGAGTTGGAAGGGACCCATAAGAATCATCGAGCCCAGCTCCTGCCCCTGCACAGGTCTATCCTCAAAAGTCACACCCTGTGCCTGAGAGGATTGTCCAAACTCCTCTTGAACTCTGAAATCCCGGAGGAGCTGAGCTGGAGAACACCCTGCAGGGTTCTGCCCCTCCCTGCTCTACCTGCAGGATGATCAGTGGCTGCACAGGCTCTATCTTCTGCTGCTCATACCCAGAGGCCACAACCTGCCCCCTGATTGCCTCACAAAGAGCTCAGGGTTTCCAGAGAACATTTTCCCTGATGACACTTTTTTTTCAGTGTTCTCTTCCCCTTGAGGAACAAAGACCATCCCACCGAGAACTCAGATTTCTGACCACGCGCTTTTAAGTGACAACTGGCACACTGTGAAGTCTGAAATACATCTTTTGGAAGAAACCAAGGTTTCTGGGACACTGTGCATGAATGAGTAGGGTCAGGTGGCAGTTTGAAGGGTGAAGATTGTCAGTAATGTTCAGGTTGTTTATCAGTGCCTGCTGTGCAGGTATTTCCTGGTGGGACTGAAGGGACCATGAGATCCCATGGGATTCTAATTTACCACTGGCATTACTAAAGCAAGGCCATTAAACCCAGCCTTTTGCACTTCAATCTAATCACATCTTCAGATACAATAATACTTTAATAGGACTTAAGCTGCAATTGATTTATTTTTTTTTAATACGCCATGAATTGAAATGAAGGCAAAAATGGTTGGAAATTATTTAGGAGTTACCAAGAATTAGGGAAAAATCCTTCATTGTTAATCAAAGAGGATTACTTTATATTTTTTAGCATTGAGGAGCTCTGATATCTTTTACCCAATTTAGTAACTAAGCTCAGCTGAGGAGGGGTTTGTTGGGATGGTTTTCACTGGACATGAGTGCTGCTGTTCATCTGCTCATGTCCAAACAGCCTCTGATGGATAAGTTGCCTTCCAGTGCTTTCAATTTGTGTAACAGCAGGTGCTTCGAGATGCCATTAGCACTGCACAAAGGAAATCTATTAATAGAGAGGTCTGGATGGTCAATAGCTCTGCAGTGTGTGCGTGGCAAACATTAACATGCCCATGCTGAACATGGTTTGCTGTGTTTTGGCTCTCTGGAGGTTGCTCTCTGTAACTCAGATATCTTTATGTTGCATGATACAGCAGAGGACCTGCCTTGGGCTGTCCATCAGTCCCAAACTCAGCCCCTCAGCAGTTCAGTGTTTATGATTCCATCCAGAGTAGAGAAGGCTCTAGGCAGACATTATGGCACTTTCCAGAACGTAGAGAAGCTCCAGTGGAGTTGGAGAGGGACTTTTTCAAAGGGCATGGACAAGGGGGAATGGCTTTAAGCTGAAGGAGGGCAGATTTATGTCAGGTATTAGGAAAAAGTTCTTTGTTATGAGGGTGGGCAGGCCCTGGCACAGGTTGCCCAGAGAAGCTGTGGCTGCCCCAGCCCTGGAAGTGTCCAAGGCCAGGTTGGACGGGGCTTCGAGTGACCTGGGCTGGTGGAAGGTGTCCCTGCCCATGGCAGGGGCTGGCACTGGGTGGGCTTTAGTCTCCCTTCCAACCCAAACCTCTCCATAATTCCATGATTCCATTCCTTTATGACAACCACTCTGCAGTCTCCTCCCCACCCTCTCCAGCCTTGGTGATCTGTCAGTTCAGAGGACAAATCTCTCTGCTGGAATCAATCCAGGCCATGAAGGTAATGCTGTGACCATTCCATGCAGAATTCATTGTTCCTCTTCAATTCAGGCTGAACACTTTTCTTGTGCAACATTTTGCTGCAGTTGGCCCAAGCTCTTGGACCATCCTCCACACACAAATCCTTGCAGCCCCAAGGCTGCCAGAGCTGCAGGAGGGTTTGGATGATCCTCTGGGGCACAGGGTGGGACTCTTGGGGCTGGGCCTGTGCAGGGCTGAGGGTTGGACTGGATGATCCTTGTGGGTCCCTTCCAACTCAGCAGATTCTGGGATTCTGTGGTTCCTAGACAGCAACCATGAGGTTGCTCTTCCCTGGACTCCTTCCAGACTATTGATGTTGATCTTGGTGTGGAGACTCCAGTGATGAAGAAAGACAAAGCCCTTTTTAATCACATTGTCCAGCTCCACAAGGAGAGACCCCTGGAGTCACCTCACTCCTTGTATCCCCTAAATTTTGCTGTAAGCTCCACCTTCCTGCTTTCCCACGAGGTGTACTCACTGTCCCAAGGGCACTGGCCACTCTCAGGCAGGTTAATTCAGATCTGCCCAAGGCAGCTCAGCAGAGCTAGAAGCTCTCTAGGTGTTTCTGAAGCTCCTCACACCAAACCACTTTGCCCAAGAGAAGGGTGAGCGTGGAATCTCACATCAGCCGATCCCTCAGCCCCCTGGCTCTGCTGGCACTGTCCCTCCTCAGCTCCTCCATCTGTCTCTGTCGACACTGTAACCCTTTGGGCAGTCTGGCTGATTTATAGCTGCTGCTGGTGCGGTTTGCTGGAGGAACAGGGGCAAACAGTGGTTTTTGCCCAGGGACACACAGACTGTAAACTCCTCCCAGGGTATTTCCTGCATGACTCAGGACAAAGAGATTGCTGCTGGTGAGACTGTAATTGCATCCACTTGGAAATGACAAAGCTCCATCCCTGCAATCACACTGTTTGATAATAGGCCTCATTAGAATTAGTGCTGAAGTGATTGCAGACCTGTGAAATCAACTTTGACTGGTAGATTTGTTACGTGGCCCAACAGCCTCTCTCAGCTGTAGGATGGAGAGGTTGGTCTGCAAGGACCAGACCTCATCTTGCAGCTGGGTTTTCCCACCACAGATATTTTGGCAGGGACTTTCTTCTTGTTCACCTGGATGACTGGAAGAAGCTGGATGACTTTTTCTGGGTGTCTCTTGGATTCCATTGATCTTTGATCTGTAATTTCTCTTTCATGGAGTTGTTTAAAGGGTTCAGGCTTAGGGTTGGTCCAACTCTCGTTCTGAGCAATCTTGGGCACTAAACTGGTCATGGGATGTTCCTCTTGGGCACAGGAGGGGAACCTGAACACTGTGAACCCTGTGCTGTGGGGGTCTTTGCAATCATGAATGGAGACTTTCAGCAGGGCAGATCTGAGCACAATCATGTTGTTCTACTTCCAGTCTTTGGAAAATAAGGATTTTAAGAACTGGGGGAAAAAAAAAAAAAACAAACAACAAAAAAACCACCACAAACAAAACCACCACAACAAAAAACCCACAAAAAACCCACAAAAAACACCAACCTAAAAGTCTAAAAATCCTAAAAGTCTAAAATTCCTAAATATCTAGAATTTCAGGCCAGAGTGTTCACTGCCATGCCATGCTCTAATTCATTTCTATCAATGAATATGTAGCTTTGGATATATCTAGTTTTAAGCCTAACTTAATGATATTTTTTTTCTTAATAGGAATATTTTTATATAAAATTACTGAGAGCAAAGGTGACCTTTGTGTTAGACATAGATTATTGCCTCTTTGTTGAATATATAAATAAATTATATTTAAGTGTAATTTTAATAAAATGATTACACAATATCCAAATTATAGATAATTATATATATAATATTTATATCTTTATAAATTTATATGTACTATATATATACTTTATATATATATATAAATTTTATCTCTCTATATAAAATCAACCCCCCTGTACACTGAATTACTATTCACATTCCTAAAAGATGTATCTGAGATGAGGGGTTTTAGTGCCTCTTCCCCTCATTCTCTCCAGCTTTCCTCACCAAACCTATCAAATTTATTTCTGTTTTCTTGACTCTTTCTACTGTAACCTCATGTCCAAATAAATACAGGATTTTGGTGGTTCTTATGAGAAGCAGCCATGCAAATAGGACCAATAAGAGGTGAGGGCTCTATATGTGTTGCTGAAAATTATATTGGCCTCTTTTGATTCTCTTCAGCATTTCAAACTTTACTGAAAACTTAATCAAATGTTTCAAAAACTCCCTGAGCACTGTAGATACAGATTGACAGAAAACCATCTTGGAGCAAATAGAGCTGCTGGAAAATATACAGGATTTTAGATTGTGGGAGAATGACAATGTCACAGGAGGCAATTTCAACAAAACAGGGTGAAATGAGGGAATAAATATATGTGTAATTAGTTGTGTGGGCTGGGGAGGGAAAGAATCCCTGGGTGCATAAATATGGCAATGTATAAGGTGAATTTAGATGGCTTGAGAGGAGCAGGATCAAATTCAGAAGGAAGCAGCTGCTTCTTTTTCCATTTCCTGTGGGAAATGTCCTGGAAATACAGGCAAACATGTCCAGAAAATGATATCTGTGATCAGTGCTGCCTGTGCCATCCAGCAGTGCTGGGTCACCTGCTCCCATCAGTGGTGACGTGTCCCAGGACCTCCACATTTCCTGAGGGGAGAAGAACTGCGGAGATCTTGCATAAAAATCAGGTGTTTGTTCAGTGCAGCCTGCAAATTTATGAAATTAATTCATACCTTACAAACATTAATTAGAATCCTGTCATCAGTTTTCCAGGTAGATCCCAGTGGTGGTAATAACTGGGTGAGGTGTCAGGCCCCTGCTTCTGAGCACAGCCTTATGACAAAGGGCAAAAACCACAAGATCAATAATATTGATCAACCCAACATCCATCATCCCCTCTCTCAAACATCTTCTCATTCACCTGCTTTCCCTGTGATGCACAATTAGAATGGTGGTGTCACATAGGATGTGTCCTGACAGCCAGCCAGGATGAGGATATTAGGGAGGATTTAGCACTGAGCACTAATTAAGAGCTGAGTTATCTCCCTGAAATCAGGTGATTGCCCCAGACAGAGTCCCAGGACACCAATTCCTTCAGCCACTCCCTGAATAAGGATTACCAGACAACATGACCTAAGCAATAACCATTTCAAATGACATTTCTGCAGGGAAAAGATCTCTGGAGGCCCAGTTGTTCCCTTCAGTCGGATACAGCAGATTCCAAATACTGAGGGAAAGGGAAACAAATGGGAGAAAAAGGCCACTGGCTCTGGGTCCCAGTGGTCCTGCCTTTGGTCACTAATGATGGGCTCCCAATGTCACAGCAGCAACATCTGATCATCACCTGTTACTGGTGGTGGGGTACCCTCCATCTCATGTGTGTCTCCCCCTCTTTCTCCCTGTGCTGTTCCTTGCCCATTCTTCTCAACTCCCCTGCCTGGTACAGCTGAAGGTTTAGTTCTGCTGAGGGTTTGATCTCACCTACTTTTGGAATCACAAAATCTTACAGTTATTGAGGTTGGAAAAGATCTCTGAGATCACAGAGTCCAACTTGTGACCAAATGAGGAGAATGTAGGAGAAGGCATTGCAAAAGCTGCTTCATTCTTGTGTGTGCAACTTAAGGTGCCTCCTGCTCCTCAGTAACACTCTTGTGTCTGGTACTAAATTCACACCATCAGCCCTAATAAGAGGAGCAAGTAACAGAATCCCAAAATACAAGAATATGCTGAGTTGGAAGGGACCCACAAGGATCAAGTCCAAGCCCTGGCCCTGCACAGGCCCATCCCCAAGAGTCACCCCCTGTGCCCCAGAGGATCATCCAAAGCCTCCTGCAGCTCTGGCAGCCTTGGGGCTGTGCCCACTGCCCTGGGGAGCCTGTTCAGTGCCCAACCAGCCTGTGGGGGAAGAACCTTTTGCTGAGATCCACCCTGAGCCTGCCCTGACACAGCTCCAGCCATTCCCTGGGGGCTGTCCCTGCTCCCCCCAGAGCAGAGCTCAGTCCTGCCCCTCCTCTGCCCCTGCCCAGGCAGTTGGAACTGCAGGGAGGTCTCCCCTCAGTCTCCTCTGCTCCAGCTGAACAC